ATCAAAGCATATTATAAATGTTAAGACAACTAACTTTAACATGACATGAAATAAGAGAAAAACCAGCAGCAGTAACAATAAAAAAATCTTTTAATTGGAGGAACTTTTTCTAACAAATTGCATACTCAGAAACAAAGAAATATAATACAGCAAATCATATTTTGTAACAGAAATACTGCATTAAACTGAAGACTAAAGAATGATTGTGACATATTACATTAACGCCAATATCACTCCAATGATGCTGGAGTAACAAACATCAAAATAAATATCCTTATATTAAATATCACGCTTATTGTTAAATTTGTATTTTAGGAGAGGGATATTATTCAACCCACTCTGCTAGTTTCCTTTTTATAGAGCTATGGTACTGCCTTCATCATCTCTAAACCATTTTCCTGTCACAGTAACATCATGTAAGTATGCTGTACAAAAGCTTAAGGTAAATAAATCTTTTGACATGTATACCTTGCACCATATCCACTTGGAACCTTCTTTATAATGACTGGAATAAGCATTTTGGTATAAAAGAAGAGGAAATCAAAAGACGATATTAACAAAGTGATATAACAATAACTTTACATTTTCAAAAGAAAATTATTTTCTACTGTAATCAATTAAAATATCAAAGTACATACATCCAGGTAGCTCCACTTCCATTTAGTCTGCTGAACCGAAAAATGAAATGGGCTTTTTTTTTCTGACAGATGTTATTGTTGAGGAACTCTTCGTTATCACAAGTAAGAGAAGGATTTTTTTTTTCTTTTTTTCTTTTTTTTTTTTTTACTTCTTGTAATTAAAATATATAGTAAATCATACAAATAATTATAATTGATATCTCACAATGCACGCACTCTCATTGGGTAAACATGTGGTGTTATTAGCTCTGCCCCTCTTTTTGACCCGGTAGAAAAATCATTGAAAGCTAAACTGAGAGAAAATAATATTTGCAGTGAATAAAGGCAAAGAAGTGGGGCTTAGCTCACAAGTTGCCAATCAGACAAAGTGAAGCTACCTGTTACAAACTACCTTGGAAAAATTGGTGAAAGAAAGAAATCATGCACCTTTTCAGATGTATATGAATGAAGAGGCCACCAGCACTATAATAAGTACAAATTCCTTCTTTGAACATGCAAGGTTGGTATTATTACAAGTAAAGCTCTTAAAACAACATTCAAAACTACACATAACTAGTAAGTTTGAAGCTTCTGAGAGGCAAAATACGTATACATTCTTCAGATAGTTTGAGCTGATTCAATCTGGTATAATAAAAAGACTGAACTTACATTTTTCTTGAACTATTATATCATTAAGTACTTACATGAACACTATGCAGATAATATTACAAACCAATAATGTATAGATGTAGAAAAAAAGTACTCTTTCAAAGCTGTAAAAAAATGCACTTTATGACTTAGTTTAATAGTTTAGCATAGTACAGAATTTTGCCTTAAAACTGTTAGAAAACATACACAAATTTATGGTTGACATTCATATCCATATCCAGACCTTTAAACAAGATTGAGGAACATTTGAAGCACACTGATTCACTACTGGAACACTCCTTTGCAACAGATACATCTAATCTATCAAAATGGAGGATATGTATTTCACTTGAATATAGCTAAATTATCAAAATAAAATTGTGTGATAAATTCTGAAATTATTCAAAGAAGCACATTAACTGGCACCACATGCATGTGAAGTATTAGCCTTTTTAATCCTAAAGTGTCAGAAATACTGACAAGAATTTTTTTTTTCTTTTAATAAAGAGAACAAAGCAAGAAATCATTAATTTTCCACCTATATCAATCATATTACTTATCATTGTTTACTACTTAGCATGTAGGTTGAACAGATTTCTTTGCAAGGGAAGTCAAAAATCAGACTTACCTAAAAATATTGCGGAATGTTTTGTTGTTAATACAATCACCACAATGAGAACTGTTAATTTTGAATTTTGTACCTTCTTGAAGGACTGAGAGGCATATATATATACCACCCCACTGATGTCATGAATGCCTGTATACAAAGTCCACAATGATTTTGTTTTATAAATTTTCATTACCCATACGGAGTATTTAGTCACTGAGGAGTCAGCTACTAAGCCTAATATCACTTATTTACTCCATTCCTTTAATTTTCAGGAAGAAAAGTTTTTAATCTGTATATTCTATCATCACTGTCAATGACAACTGAAATAGAATGGGGTTAAACAGGTGAGATAAGGTAAACTTCGTGAAAGACTCCCTGGTGATGGGTAATTGCTTGTGCAGACATCTACGTGTAAACAAAATTAATAAAAAGAAATCAAAGTGAACAGTGTATGTACCCAGCATCAAATTATTAAAACTGGACTCTCTTTTATGTCCTTACTTTAAAGTGTCAATATCAAAATCTATCCTTTTGGAACTTGCTTTGCCTCACACTTTAAAATCAAATATACTGCAGTTATATGAAAAAAATACAGTAATTTTTGTATTGGCTAAAATGTATCCAAGATATTTTCCTAAAATCCCTAAATCACACAACAAAAAGTCCACACACATGCATTTCTAGTTGCCATTTCTCACTTTTCAAGCACATTATCCTCTTGTTCCATCTATTCTCTACACAAACCAGTAACCTTAACAACAATAAACAACATACATCCCTAAGGAATACCTTCACCCACTACTGATCTGTCCTCTAAATCTACTCTCTTTTTGTTGTTTTACATCATAAAGACTGTAGTTCAACACTATATAGAGACTAGGAATATAATGATTTAAAGTCAATATCAAGACAATGAGGTGCTTAACATGTTACACAAAAATAGATGCCCTTGATAAAATTGAACTATAATATTCACTGCTGTCTTAAAAGATTGATTAACACTACTTAAAGTACATGAAAAACTTACGGACCTGAAAAGTTTAGTTTGTATAGAGGGGAACTTTGTCACGAGTAGAAAAAGGTTTTGTCATTAAAATGTTTATACAGAGTTATTGTCAAATACCTTGTGTAGGAAAGCCATTTAAAACTAATGAACTAGCAAAGAACTACTTTGAGCTCATAAAATCACTTAAGTTGTTTCTTAGTAGTATGAGCTAGGCATATCTTTTTCTTATTCCCTATCTAATTGAAAATGCTAATCGGTTCCATTGATTTCATGATCACAGCAAGACAGAGATATTGTTTTATCAAAGCATTTCAATTAGGATTAGTAATAAGAAAAATCCATGTCCAAAACTGTAAAAGAGCATGAAAAAAAGTTACAAACATAAGTGTCTTTCCATATTGTGCAAATTCTCAAGCATTTCAATAAGATTCAACAAACTTGACAATAATGCAGTAGTACATTACACTAAAAAGGAGGCTTCTCTCTCAATTCATGAAGCTGGCAATTATAGTTTAATACTGTGTTTATGTATAATGATGAAAACAGTCACAACAGTACAGATTGATTTTTTGCCATGTGAGAATGACGCACAAAATATGGATTTAATACTACTGAATCATTTCTTCATGCTCTATTTAGTCACAGATAATGTGTATGATTTCCTCAGAAAGACAGCAAAACCATTGTCTTTGGAATTCGGAATTTTCACAGCAGCTCAGAGCCATTATCACAATCATTTGATTCCAACCCCCTGATCCTTGGTCACTTGATGAATGACTGAGACCTCTTCCTCTCCTCTTCAAAAATTTGTGCATTTTTCTCCCTCAACTCATCGAGCTGATGTTCTATCCCTAACTTTGTTTCTTTAATCTTATTACTTTCAAATCTGTAGAAAATTGTTGCCATAAAGAGCAAGTATGAAAGACAGAATGTAAACAATATCAGCAACAGGCCTAGGAACCCACGGGTCACACCAGATGATGATTCTGTACATATCACAATATGGCACACCAGTAAAACAATAGCACACAGGACTGACAGGGCAATGTAAAGTTTCTGCTGAGAGCCTACAGACTTCAGGCCTTGCTCACACACTGCAGAACACTCCAGCAGGGCATCCGTCTTGGCTTGCACACTCGGTATTTCTTCCATAATTTCAGTCCCTGAAATTATAAAATAGGAAAATCAATATACACATATTATGCAAAGACAGACAGGTAACAATAAGCAATATATACTGCCTATTATTTATACTGCTGAGAGATTTTGTAACAAAATAACACCACTGTTTGAATTTAGCCCATGCTGCTGGGAAAATGCAAATTTCACTGTGCTATTGCTATGTGATATGTATCTACACAGAGATGGCTCCACAAGTGCTCAGCCACTAAAGAGTCAATTAGTAGTCAACATGCTTTCACCTGTGTCCTTGTAAAATGTATTTCATATTTTCTACTGCTATTATAACTATTAGTGTTATTAGCAGTACAAATACCCATATAGAATAAAACATGTGATATAAGTCAGACTAGTGATTGACTCATTGGTGACTACACACTTGTGAAGCTATCTATGTGTAAATACAATTAATATTTTACTCACATAACTGAGTTTGCACATGGTTATAATAAGTAATTTGGGCAGGAATTAGAATTTTGCTTATCACTTATTCCTGTTTCAAACATTTACAATATTTGCTTTGGTTCATTCTAGTTCACTGTTGTATCAAAGAACATTGCTGTCTGATTTCTGAGATCCAGGTGCATACAATATAATATAAAGGGCCAACAAATGGCTTTTACACTGGAATTTTTCATTTCTGATGTTTTTTACAAAAAAATAATAGTGCTAGATTTATACTCATTGTGAAACAGTGAAAAAACTGCAAACTGAAACAGAGTATGGGAAATGACAGAGGAATATATGAGAATTGGAAGAGGCATCATCCATTCAACCCATTTCTGCCGGGCATCATGACAAACCGCTTGGTCTGCAGAGTATGGCTGTACGCCATGGCAGTCCTTTGAGTGGGGCATAGTAGAATCTTTATCAATTTTCTTCACCCAGCAGAAATGGGTTAACTGTTCTGATTTTGCACATCTCTACTTTGCAAGGTAAA